TGAAATACACCGAAAATTGATACTGAATATCTAGAAGGAAGCCAATCCTTGAACGTAATTGAAGGGATGAAACGCAAATTCTTGCGGCCTTCATGCGATCGATTATCATGATTTTGTCCTATCTTATAATACAGTTAAGTAATAATTCTTGTAGAAAGGACACGCGATGTCTTACTATAATTTCATAGAATATATGATAAAAAACTTTATATTCATTTTTTTAACATTTTTTGAAAAATAGGTTGATAAAACATCATGAATATTTATTCTATGAAAATAGAATTTAATCTTCAAAATCGAATAGTTAAAATTTAAAAATATTTAAACTTTTTGTTCCTTTTTTCAAAGTTAAGTTTCGAAACATTTGGATTTCCTTCTATTTCTTTAAGCTTCTTTCGGAAAGAAAGATACAAGAACTTTTAACTTCTTCTATTACTATTATTAGTTTATAAAACTCTAAGTCCCTATTCTTGAAAAAAAAAACGTATACGAAAAACTATAACATACGTTACTATACTATAATACTTTTTATGCTACTTGTATTTCTCTTACTTTTACGTATGCGATACTTTTCAAGAATAGGAATCCTGCAAACTATTAATGTCTCTTTAATCTAACCAATTATGCAGATTTTTTTCAATGCGAGTTAATCTGATAATAGCGGCGATTATATTTCCGAGTGAGCAGAAGTACAAATACATGTCTTCTCGACATTTCGCCATGACCTCTATTACATTCGGAGGAAAAAAACGATGCTACAACAGTAAATTTCTCCGCTCACGTTCTGATAAAGCCCAGCACGCAATTGCATAGTATGCAATTACAAATGTCGTTCGGAGTTGTATTTCCGATAAAACTCTACTCATTTTCATTTACCTCGCCGATTTTCCAATAGATATGTATGTTTGCAGAGAACATGTGTATATGTATAGAGATATATAATCTCGCTGACCTTTGAATAGTATCATGTTAAATGGCACGGTTATATTGAAAATGAATTACTAATAACATCGCAGATGTTAAACTAAAGCAAATTTGTCAATGTATTCTCAGCATTGTATATTATAATTTATATTGCTTTCAAACTATTCAAAACAATTTTTAAATATACAAGAGAATATTCCTCATTCAATTTTTTGAGAATAACAGATATCTTTTACATTTATCTTTTATTAATTTTTTAAATTCAGAATTATTAGATATGTAATTGGATATTTTTCCGATTGTTGTGCATATTTTTATACAAAACAATAATTTTCTTTAAAAAAAAAAACGAATTTGAATCTCATAAGAAATGATAAAAATAATTAAAGCTGCAGCGTATTAAACTATTTAGAACAATTTCTAAATTTATAAGAAAATGTCTCGTAAAATTTTTCAGAAATAACAAATATCTCTTGCATCTGTATTTTATTGATTTTTTTAACTTTGAAATTCTAGTGCAATCTGAGTACTTTTTCCAATTATTGTGCCAATTTTTATATACGTTAAAACAATAGTTTAAAAAAAAAAACGAATTTTACATTCGTAGAAAAACATAAAAAATAATTAAAAATTGATCCTCCCATATTTTTTTATATTTATATTTTGTTACTTGCCATTTTTGTTATATTTTCTTCGAACAATTTAAAATCACATTTTTTTCTCGGAGAGAGAATTATCTTCACTTCGCCAGCTTTTAATATTCAACATATTCGTGATCGATATTACAATTAAACTTTTTAAACAAATTTATATTGAATTAACTGAAAGATAAATTTCTATTTATACAATGCTGGATTTCTTTTAGAATCATTTGTTTTAAAGTCAACATCGCATTAGCCATTCAACTACGCAAAACATTCAACTACGTAATTAAATTTTTTCCTCTCTATTATCGATAAGATTAATCTGAAAGGATAATAGAGATAATTATTCCAGATTTATATATTCCGAATCGCGGTATTCTGATATTCTCGATAGCTTTATATTTTTCGCAAAACCTCGCTTTGAATTTCGATGACCAGTACAGAATCTATACAACTGGTTTGCTGTTCAACGTACCGCAGCCATTCGTGCGTATTGTCGTAGCTACACGCGTGTTTGCAGTTACATCGCGTGTGTTCGCTCATTCACATTCATCTCCCTCTCCTCCAGGAATTCTCTCCCTTTCTTTTACTATTGTAACCCGGCCGATTCAGGATCGGCAATGAAGAGGGTGCACGTGCCAAGTAATGTATACACGTGTCTACGTACGTGTGTGTATGTAACGTGCATATATGTTTGCGTTTATGAGCGCGAGCGCGCCGTTGGCCGTGCGCGCGCTCCACGCTCATGGATGCTGAACGCAAAATCAATATCAAGTTTACATCGCGTCTATGTACACACGTGGACCGTGAATCTTGTCGTAAAATTCGGATCCGACGCAACACCGAGGTCGCTGATACTCAATTAGATTGCAATTGCATCAGAACGTGATCGTACTAGTACTGGAGAATCAATCGGGAGTATTTTGAATTAAGGGCTGGAAAAAGGGAGGTCACGTAAAAAATGAAATGCGTACGCTGAAAAATAAAAATCCACAGAAAATTTAATAACGAAGCGGAAGATAAATTTCGAAGCGACACGCGAGCGTAAATCGAAAATACAAGTATATATTCTGTTACGTAATTTATAATACAATAAACAAAAAATATATGTAAAATATTGTTTTATTAATATATGTTATCAAAAACATTGACGGTTCATTAATATAATATATTAAAAACATTGTTTCATTAAAAGAGATATTAAATTTTTTATATATTCTTATAATTCTTTGCTGAAAGGAATGTTAAAATAATTGATTTTTTTTCCCATCTAATACTTGTTTTTTATAGCACATGCTAATGAAGTTATATTTAGCGTTGTTTTTAACAAAGGCCACATTATTTAATTATTTTTTACTGTTAAGCCAATTTTAATTGATATTTTTGAAAATAAGTCAATAAACGAATAAATTTAATATAACGCAACATTTTTCAATGAAAAACTATCGTACACATACAAAGAGCATTGGAAGATAATTACAGCTTAATTAAAAAAGAATTATGCTCAATGGTATAAATTAGTTTTCTCTTATTTGACATGATTAAAATTAATATTTGAAAAAATTATAATTTATAAATTTATTATACGTACATAGTGTAATGCTACGTTCATTCTTGCCATAATTAATAATTCTTACATAGGATGACGATGCAGGTGCTCCATCATGCGCTTGACTGCGCGAGGGAAATACTTAATCGTTAAATGAATCGCGTAGGTCGTGTACGAATATAATCCTGATCCATTACACTTATCGATTATCAGGTTACTTGAATTAGGTTTGTTTGAGGTTTGTTTAGGTCCATTATTATTATTATTAATTACAACGCATTAACAGCGTTCTCGATTCCCGAATAGGTAACTTTGTGCAATCTCTTTCCAATATTAATGAGTATAATTATTTATTCACTGCCTTATATAGTTAGATGCAATTCGCGTCTCAGTCGCGATAAAAACAGTTTTTGTTTTTTTTTAACATTATTTTATTTATTCTAAATTCTAGACGTGCAGGCATTTAGATCATTTAGACAACGAAACTAACGCAAATATTTCAATGTCTTAGTTTACGTTTTTGCTAAAAATTGATAAAAATCCTAATTTAATATAATTTTTCCAAACCTTGATCGTCTTACCAAGGAATGTTCACAGAATTCCGATGTAGCAGCCGTGACCGTCGATTTTTTGTATCTGGTAACAGTCGCAAAATTCAATACTGCGTATAATCACATCGTACAAGGAAGCAGACGTTAGTTACGCCGCGTAGGACCGTTCACGCCCGATTCCGCTTAGGATGACCAAATTCTCTCCTAAATCTTTCCAAGGTGGTTTTCCCGATCGGAAATCGATCCCACGGTGACTCACGGGTATTCACTTGTCAAGGGTGACGTATCGAAAAGCGCACTTTTGGAATGAATAAGATTTACTTGATATATGTCGTGTTGACCACGAATATCTGCGACCTACCCCACAAGGGTTGTAGTTACAGAGTAATGCTCCGGTTCAAGATGGGGAATGTTACCCCTTCCGGACGCATGCGCATTTCTGTGCATCCCCCTAGCCGGCGAAGCAAAGTGACGGAGTCCTGGGGTCTGGCGGAGGCGGCAGGACTTTTTACTCGATAAATAATCAAAGAGCCCGAGGAGGGTGGCTCGACGTATACACTGGGCTTCATAAAGCTCTTTTTAAGATACTAACAAGGAGATCGTTGTCGTTTAACTTATTTTTTACGCAGCTTAACTCTTCTTTTTCCGATATTTCTCACGATATTTTTTTTTTATTATTTTCTATGAAATTAATAAAACAATTAATAAAATATTGTTACTTATGTGAATAAATGTTATGGAAACAAAATAAAATTTTAATATTTTCAAAATCGTAAAATTTTTATAAAATTTTATAAAAAATATTATAATGTACTCATATTATAAACTACTTATAAAATATTATATTAAAGAAATAATGTATAAAGCCATTTTATTTATTCTAATCAGATATAATGATGAATATAGAATTTTTTTATTATCTCTAATTCTTAGTCCTAACGTTATTAATGAAATAAAAAAATTTAAATCCCACATTAATGAAAATTATCATTATATTGAGCGCTTAGAATGATTGATGTATACAGTTTATTATAAATTTGTAATTTTTGTATGAGAAGAAGATATATTACAAATATTAGAGAAATTTATGAATAAAGTGTTAAAAATGTATACATTTATTTATAAAAGTTTTATATACATACACATACTGTATTAATATGATTGATAGCATGTGTGCGATCTCATGTAACGTTACGCACATTATTTTTACGTAATTATTGTACGTCTTTAATGATCATTCGACTATCGTTCAATCTCAAAAAAAGTTTTAGTTTTACATATTATACGTATAAAATATTTCTGTAAAAAATTTTATAAATTTTTTTGGAGCATAAATATTAGATAATTAAAAAAAATCTTATCACACAGTATATATAAACATCGCAACGTGCTGATACTCGTTTGTTTATGTAAATTAAATATTCTCTGCGAAATTGACGCGCCACATTCGGAGATATGTTTTCCCATGAGCATTGCTCAATCGAAGAGCTCTTCGATGACGATCGTTCAGTGAACATTGACAAGTCCCTTCAACATTCACTTGATTGCTCGCTGCAATTGCTCGGTATCACGGTGTGACAGCCGCGTCGGTTTCGCAATTGCTTGGCCGCGAATTTGTCAGGATCCTAAAAGTCAAACCCGTATTGCAATCATATTAGGATTTCTTTCGGAATTTTGACGAATTGTTGCAGCCATATTGCATTTATTTAACACAATTAAGATTTCCTTTATTAAAGTTTAAATGGAATTTCTAAAAAGAATTTTTCATCTTAAAGAGAGGTAACTTCAGTTTACAACTTACACTAATTTTAGTAAAATAAAATTTTGATTTATATATAAAATATTTGTATAAAAATTTTATAAATTTTTTTGGAACATAAATATGAAATAATTAAAAATTTTATTGAAATATATATATATATAATCCTTTATTGGAAAATTAAAGGTAATAGAAAGTAATAAAAGACGTAAATCTCTCTCTCTTTCTCTCACACACACATACACACACACACACACACACACACACACAAATTGTTTACCTGAATGTCATTGGCGCCTGTCACCGTGTGAAAGGATTTCATCGATATTTTTCGTTGCATTTCCTTGAATGAGGAGAAATTTGGCTGCGGCATCCAATTTGTCCCGTAAGAAATCGGATGTATATCCCCACGCGCCGCGTTGTTTGTATCGTTCGACGTCTCTGAGCGACCATCGTCGCAACCTGTACTGATTTCGCCGTCGTCCAATATCGTGTTCACTTCAGTAGGTACGAGGATCTCCTCTTGCGCTCTGAGAACAAGAATATATTTTTATGTTTTATGATACAAACGACATTTTTCTCGCTTTATTTTTTCTTCTGCAACGAAACCTAATGTACGAAAAAAGATAATTAATTGAAACATAAATTGCAATACCAACCCGTCCTCTGACCATTCCATATATAATTTGCCCACCGCAAACGCGTTCCGGAATTTAGCTAAAGATCCTTTAACAAAAATTTCAACTCGATCTGTAGAGTTTACACATCCCAAAGCGGTTACCGCAATTAACATCGCGATAATCCAACTAATAAAACCGGCTGACATTACTGGTGGCTGTACGGGTACAGGATAATATGAAGACCAGACATGTTGCCACCAGGGGTATGAAACATCTCGATATTCAGATTCCTATCAATTAAAAGAAAATTTTCTAAATATTATATATCACATAAAAGATTTAAATTAATTATTATAATTAGTACAACTGATTATTACAAGTCTGTATAAACTAATGATTATATAGTGAATTTAACATTTACATTTTACATTTTGTAATTATCTAATTCTTCTTGTAATTATCTAATTTTAAGCTTAGTAATTAGTTTGTACAGACTTATAATAATTAATTATACTAATTATAATAATCAGTTTAGGCTAAAATTTACTTTTAGAAAATACTATAATATTTTATTCTTCGGAAAAAGTTTTAGAAAATTATTTCCCTTTTTGCTACATACATACCTTATTTTCTATTACATAAAGTGGACAATTCAAGCGTTACGAAAGCAATTTCTTTGTTAGTTACGAGAAGAATATAATAACGAGTCCACTCACGTAACTCCAATAATGCCAGACGCTGCAATAGAGTATCCTTTGGAGGATCAGCCATAGCCATAAAAGAGCATTAATTGCGAGCCAGCTAACTGACACCTTGAAAGATGCACGTGTATACAAAAGAGCATTAACACGTGAGATGCGATGATTTTTGTACCTGAAATACTTTATAAATAAATGTCGCGCCTACGATGTTCATGAGCCGCGTGGAGGACGGAGGATTCTTCCAGAGGATGAGTACCACGGCCATCAGGATTAGGAAGGATGGCAGCGTGTGGATAAAGTCTGGTCCAACTGCGATTTTCGCATATTCACGGAAAACCTTGTGTCGCAGAAATAGAATCTCGTGGGGCACGGAAAGCAGGGTCCCTATCTGCGTGTGCAACGCGCTCAGGCAGGACATCACTGACAAGGGCTTACGCGTCAGCCTGACTTTTCGGAATTATCTGTCACCGCGAAGGAACGAATCGCGGTTATAATAGATATACATCCAGTTATATCGAAACGCCTGACGTACGCTGAAATGAACCGTGCAGCGCCTATCGTTTGTTCAAAGAAGGAACGAGTGATAACGACGGAAACACTGATATATTCTCGATAGATATGTAGACTCGCGCACTAATTCCGTTTGTCAGCATATTATGGAAGTGTTGAGGGTACCTTACGGAACACGTTGGAATGAATTCCGATTTATTCCATGATAGGTACTCTGAATGGATTATGCATATTATACATATATAATGTTTAAAATAGATTATGTGTATTATGAATGTGGTTTTGAATGGATTACAGTCGAATTGTTCAATTATTCTTTAGATTTCTATTATTTTCTACTCACTAAAATTTCTAGAAATGAATTCTGAAGAATGAACACTCTTAAAAATTAATAATTGATTGAGCCTTTTTTCTAAGAATTGCTCAATTTTTATTCTTAATTGTGAGATTCTATTCTAAAGAATTTAAAGAGTAAAAAAACGGAATAATTGCAATCGGAATCCATTCCGACGTTACGTGATAGGGAGATGCTCAGTTCTGAAATTGTTTATCATGATGATACGTTACTTAAGTCAGTTATTAAAAGTTGAAAATTACGACGTTACGCTATACGTTAAACTGCGCATTCTTTGAAATAGTTGATTAATAATTAAATTATAATTTAAATTATAAATCAATATATTCTCAAAGTTCCTTGAAGTTGGAAATGGAGAAGTTGTAAAGAGATTGGCATTCAATTAATTTTTTCTCGATAATTGGATTTCCAAGAAAAATAATAGTCGATAATTTCCAAACAATTAGCGAACATAAGTGGATATTTATTTATAAAAATTCATAAAGTATATTTAACAATAAAAATACTTTCTATTTAAAACACTATTATTATATACAATTATATACAATTATATATTTAACGATTAAGCAGTCTATATAAGAAAGTAATCGGGTCCAACGAAGGATCCACATTTTGGAAAGTCTTGTGGCGCCGCCACCATGTCGCTAGGTTCTCCAACTTGTAAGATAACATCCAAACCACGGGTCCAATCGGTCGCGTGCTCATCCCGCAACATCCAATAACCTGCAAAGTCAGATAAGAGTTTTGTCGAATTGATATGTTGATAGTTTTATTAGGTCAGTTTTTTAATTAATAAAAATATTATGGGTAGTATTCATAGTCCCTTCTTATTTCAAGACTGTCTTAATTAATATCTTAAGACGCTCATACGATCCTCTTGGTTCGTGACTTCTTAAGACTGTACTTAAGACGGTTTTGAATATAAGATCTGACTACGAATACTGGCATAGATATCTTAATTATTAACTATTAACTATTACATCAAAATCGCCGATGACACTCTGTTAAAAACCGAAAGATATCAATTTAATAATGTTCTATTTTTTTCGGTTAGTTGATAAGTTATTTTTGTATTATTATATTGTATCATTAAAATTGCTTGTATTTTATACACATATTTTTAATATTCTATTCTGTAAATCTAATATAAATAAGAAAAAAAAAATGTTTAACGGTTTTAAGTTAAACTAAGGTTTGAACTTAAAGTCAAAAATTTTACTATTTATTATACAGTTTAAAATTCAGTTTGCGAAAAACTCTTTGTTTCTAATCGCTAATATAATTCCATCAATTGCTACTATCTTCGTATATTTTAACAGTAGAATTATCTTCAATTTGCAAAACAAAGTTATCAAATTAACAATTGAATTTGAATAGAGATTTTGTACAATACATTAAGTATTTGTATCAGTTTAATAAGATAAGGTTTACCTGGATTGTCGGCTTTAAATCGCAGTGCCACGGCACCAAACTTAGGCACGACGATGGTATCCTTGATTAATGCGCAATCGAGATTCCGCGAGAACAGTTGGCTTCTCTCATCGAGTTTTTTCAGCTCTTGTAGTGATACACTTCGCCCAAATTGTCGGGCGCCCACCACATAAAAACTGTAGCCGTGTAGATGATAAACTAAATCATTCAAACCGCCTATAACAAAATAATAGATTAATCTATAACAATAATATAACTTTATAATTGAATAGAATTCCTCGTAGCAAAAAAATCATTGCCGAATTATTATTATTATTATTCGTGACTTTAGTTAAAATTATTTTAATAATATTGAATTATTATGATGTCAAATTATATTATGATGCTGAGAGAATGAGAAACATTATAGGTATATAACAACTGACATATAAATTAAATAAAACTACTAAATTATATAAAAATTAAATGTTTATAGCATGAACAGGTCTAATAAAATCCATAAAAAAAACCTGCATCATGTAAAAAATGGTTCTTGAACAAACGAATGAAGATAATTTCACGAGAAATATTACGAACCGATAGTCGATGCTGAAATTAGTTTCGTGTAATTGCGAAGCTTTATGAAAGAGATCAATCATTCCACGTGCTGTTATCGGAAGTCGCGGGATTTCTCTCGGCTATCGCAATTGTCTTAAAAGAAATCGCGATGACGCATCAAATATTGTTTTTTAAACGAATAATATATACCTCCCTCATCAAAAGTGATTTATGATGATGAGAGGCTTCATCAATAACTTTAACTTTCGCAGCCAATACAAGATGTAAAGATATTGGGGTCAAACGTAAATTCTATTATGCTGCTAATGTTCTCTCACGTGCTGCTTTATGCTCATTTTGTAAGATTATCCTCAAGCATGTGCTTGGAGGAACTATGTAATAATTAAACTAATGATTACGCTGTATTACGCAGGAGACCGTACGCCTTCAAACGAATAGCGTAATAATGAGTTCCTGCAGTAACCTTGTCATATTCCGTATTAATTTGCATTGTCTTGATTAAAGATTCTGACTAAAGTTCAATATTACGAATATTTGATAATTTAAGAATTCTTTTCTTATCTCTAATCATAAAATGCTGAGAATTATTAAAAGAGAAGTATTTAAATTATTTTGACCTTTTTTTTGTATCTTTTGAAATTTGCTAAATCATACAGTATTGTTGAATATGACATATTATTTAATTATATATAGTTCAATGTAGCCAAATAGCATGCAAATTTTATAAATGTTTCTGAAATATGTACATTATATATTAAAAATATATTTATATATTCTAAAGATATGTATATTAAAATACCGTCAAATATAGATGATATATTTAAAGGACATAACTATAAATATTCTATGAAAAACTATAGAATATTTTATGTAATTTTCTACAAAATATTCTACATCTCTTTATACGTGGATTTGATCTTGTTCGTATAAGTTTAATACGTAGTAGTTTAAAGCAGTTAGTTGATAGTTAATGAGCTGCACATGTGCAGCGTACAATTCATTAACTTTATGAATATTCTGAAGAACTTTCTAGAAATATTTTTTTTATTAAAAATATATAAAATATTCTATGTATATTCATAAAACGTTCGATTTAAATATTCCGAGATTATTTGTATTTTTAAAGATGTTCATAAAACATTTTGTATTATCTAGGGGTATATTTTTATCATTGAAGAGAAATATATACCGATAAAAAAGGAAGAAAATTAAAGAAAACTCTTTAGGCCTTTCATAAAATTATGAGTGTGAAAAATCTGTTCTTGCCTGTCTTTCTTTAGGCTTTTTACACATAAAATCTAGACAAACATGAAGATTTCGAATGAATGGAAACGGAGGAGAAAAACGCGGACAACTTAAATTAATTAGAAATGTACATGAGATGAATGTGCACGCGACATTGCAAGTTAATCGGTTTTGCGTTTTAATTACATTCGAATGAGACTGATTACCTTGGTCCAAGAGAATAATCTCGACAGTTGCTCCGAGAGGCACGTGGCGCACGTTTACACACTCGCATATGTCACCCCCGCCGACGTCGCCGACTTGACGACATCGGCGTCGCGACATGGTTTCGTTGCTCTCATTGAGATCATCCTCGTTGTTGATGCACAGCATCCCCGGGGACACGTCTCCACCTTGGGTCAACAGCGGTGACGGCGGAAATGTGAAAGTGACGTTGTTCACATTCAACACTCGTGTCTCCGTCCCACCATCACCTGAAGAAGACGAAAGATGTTCGCATTGCGATTAAATAATCAAGTTTATATCGCACATCGCTCTCTCTCTTTTTCTTTTTTAATTTAAAGTTATCCATATAGTCTTTTTATCAATTTAATTACACATTGTTTTCTCGATGTGCATTGCGAATCGGGCGTTAGGAAATTTCTTCTTCATGTATATTCAAAGTGATGATTATACAAAGACGATTATTACGACATTTGTAAAGAGATTAATCTTTACAGGACGGGAAAGCCACTATAGTGATACTGGAATAGTATTGTATATATTTTGAGATAAGAAATATAATAAAATAATGAATTATAATAAATCTTTAGGAACAGCTGTAAGATTAAAAAAAATAAATCTTTGTTCTCTAGAGCTTAATGAAAATATAGTTTTACTATCAGTGTCTTATTCGTAATAGGTATGAGAAATCAATAAACAAGGTAGTACGATTTTGAACGACATAAAATTCAATCTTTTAGTTTTAGTTTGGTTTTCTTCTGTTTGGTATCTTTTAGTATTATCCACAATAAGATCAGAATTGCAAAACTTGAACCTCGAAAATTGTATTTAAATCTTATTTCAGAATTTTCGAAATTATATCAGCTTATTCTACATCGCAGCTTCTTTATCCTCTTTAATATTTTCATAACATACTTAAACTAATAAAATTGCATAACATTTTTATTTTAATTAAATTGGCTGAAATTTAAGAGTGATACATGTTTATATATTCGTATTTTTCTTAAATTTAATTTATCTTGAATTTTTAATAGCAATGTAATCTTTTACATTAAAAACCTTAAAAAGGATTTTAATGCAAAAAATCATTATATGTATATAACTGGTTTAATGATTGAATGATTTAATGTTATACATATAAAATATTAAACCTGAGAATAAATAAATTCTCAATCTATCAAAAAATTAATCGAAAAAAAGTTCTGTGATTATAAAAAAAAGTAATATTTGATTATGAAAGTGCTTTCTAACCGAGATACGCTATTACGTACGAAATATGGTAGTAAAATTTTAATAACCCGGATTTGATATAATATGATTAATATGATGAATGAAAAAAGCGGTGAAACTTAGGAGGCAGAATTTTTATTCAAGCCTGCCCGCGTTAATTAATGCCCCGTGCAATTACATCCCGATTGCATCTTAATTCGCACTTTCACTCCCATTAGGGACTTCTATTAATTTTTTACGGACCTATCAGTTCCGTCGCTTGCATCTTGTAGTTAATCGGCAGATACAGTGTCACGTCCGTTCCGGGCTTAGTCAGGGTCTGCGGGATTTTACGGATACTTTGAATATCCATAGCGCATAAATTCTCTCGGTCGCCGCATTTCTCGGTAGGATTCGTCGTCACGGCCACCCGGTCTGTTCCTATCTCGTCAATATCACGCTGATCGATAGCTTCCGCCGTTGCTGCAGGATTTTCCGAATTGCCTTTGTAGTTGAGCATCGCTACGCCATTTATCGTGTTCGTTCCACATTCTTTCGCTGTGTGCACATTCATCCAGTAGGACCCGATGCGTTTGCTCGCTTTGAGGACGAAGTCCGCTCTTTCACCTTTAACGAATATTGAAGACTATTCATCAGTCTCAGCATATTCGATGAAAATTGTGAGAAATCGGGAAATGAAGTTTTGCTTTGAGCAACGGTAAAGTTAAGGCTATCGATCTTATAGTATTGAATATCCTAACTTTCTTGTAAATCTCAAAGGATAAACGTAGAGAACGTATCAGCGAACGTGCTACTTAAGATCCGATACATTTGAAAGTGGAAGCGTTTAAGAAAATAAATGTCATCACTTGCTATGTGAGTTACAACTGAAGAATCGATAACTTGCGAAACTTTTTGCAAGATTTTTACGTTTCTGTGTCTAATATTTCTATAGTCTTACGCAATCAATTTTTTAATGGAAAAAATATGAAGCAAGTAAATTGTGGAGGCGTTTCGATCAAACGTATTCAATTTTCCTGACAATATCAAAAAATCGTTAAACCTACACTGAAAAAAAATTTCCTAAATCTAAAGTAATATTTTCTTAAATAATATTAATTAAACATTTCTTTACAAATAAACATTTATTAAATAAAGAAAATAATATTTAAATCAAATTATATATATTTAAGTTTATAGTAAACATTTATCTGTAATAAGGAAGTGTTTTTACTTAGTACTATTCGAGAAAATATTACTTAGATTTAAGAAAATTGTTTTAATGTACACAGAAAAAACAATAGAGTATCTAAAAATTTATCTAAATAATTTTGTTCTGAAAATAATTTTGTTAGAACATCAAAGTAATTACATAGAATGCTTAAGCGTTGATGACAACGCTGCAGAAAATTTTAATATGGCCGTATCTGGCAGAGAAAGCAGCTTTGCTGTCGTAAAGTTCTTTAATGTGATTGATCTTGCGCTTAGTTCCTCACTGGGTCTAAATATATAAACCAATCATATTAAAGAATTTTACAACAAATTGCAAAGCTGCTTTCTTTGCTGAACGCAATCATCATTCTAGTAAGCAGCTTAAGCTTTCTACATAATTATTTTGTTAAATGCTTGAGCAAAATTATTCTTTTTATGTAGCATCAATATGTTACATTGAGGATTGTACAGAGATCCGATTACGAAGAAATTGAACGAAACTCCAACCTTTAGCCAAAGTAATAGATGTGACTTGTCGTGGTTCTATAGGATGTCCGTCAAGCGCGATCAAGAGAAGCAAATGGCCATCGATAAAAAGCGTCACCGGGCATGCACCAGCGCCTCCGGCATTAGCGACACGAAATCTATGACGTCGTCCTGGAATGACCGTGAATGTGCTTAAAGGGACTGCGGGTCCGTTGGGTTGACGACCTTTCCCATTGATTAGAAGAATCGCCGGTTTTAAATAACCCTGATTAAACTGTACTTCCGGAAGCGAATGTTGCCATTGGGTCACTAGGACCACGTGATTAGGATCGTCGATGTCGTAAAGGGCGCGATGAGGTTCTCGAAGGTCCGCTTGTCTCACGATCAACGATCCGATAATGCCATCCGTGACATCGGCTCCTGAAAACATTTTTTTCAAAAAACAGGTCAGTCAAACAATTTTTTAAAATCATAATTAATAATTAATAATCAAAGGTAAATTGATAATATAAAGTTAGTATCAATATCACGAATCATTAAATTTATTGTTACATGATTATATTTAATCTAAAACAACTCACGAATCATATCATGAATATCTGCACGAATCATTAAATCCATTATTATATAATTACATATAATGTAAAATAACTTAAAGATAAAAACATTTTTATTTAAATTAATTTCGAATTTCATAAATAATTTTATAGATAATTAAAACTCGAGAAAATATATTTTTATAAATAAATTTAGCTTTAATTTATTATTAAATGCATTAAACAAATACATTAATTAGTAGTTTAATTAATTCAATAGCAATATTTGCAAAGTACATAAATTTTAATTATATATTAATTTTGTAAATTTTTTTCGATTGCGATTCATATGATATTCAACGTAAATAATTAGCCAGCAACCTGCATGTGCATGCCAGAGATGTGTGCCGGGTATGGAAGCACGAAATTTATATTGGAAAGTGGTGTAACTTGGTATTGGACATTGTGTGACCAACGGAGTGCCATCCATGTAAGGCATTTCCATTTGCGTTTGTCCTCGCCAATGCACCGCAGCTGCTTTACCAGGAAGACGATTTATCACATCCACCACTAGGATATCGTTTTCACAAACCTGCAAAAGCGTAAACTTGTATGAAAGTTCGCAATTAGATACTTGATCTAAAAAAAAAACCGCTCTAAATATGTTTACTGTGATATTAATTAAGATTGTGCCGACACCAGATCATACAGAATAAAATCATTGCATAATATCTCAAAGAAATTTCCTAACAATCGCATCGTAATGCACATTTAGAAATTAATGCCTAATTAAATTGATATTTAAAAAGATAGTTTTAAATTGAATTAAAGAAGAACATGCAATTATAAACTTGATTATTTAATTGCAACACGAAGATATGTAATATATAATACATAATATAAATATATTTTGTAACAGATATGTAATACAAATGTGTTTTGTAATTATCTTTATATATTGTTTCTTTTTTTTTACTTAAAATCATTGTCACAATGGTATAAATACATTAAATGCATATATATATATATATATATATGGAAATAATGATTTTGCTGTAAGATAAAATTTTGCTGCATAGATCTGAAATTAATTTTGTTGGATTATCCAAATAATTTAGGTAAGAATCTGAAGCATGATTGGTAAAGCTGCAAGTCATTTAATATTTTAACAACTAGTTTTGAATTTCCAATAAAATTATTATATGTTTAGAGATCTGCCTTTAATAAAATTTAATATCTTTTAGTAAAATTGTTCTTTTCGTATAACTAATCTATTAAAAACTTTATCTATATTCATATTAAAAAATTTTATTTTTCTTTTAATTTTACATGTTTTTTAATATTCGGACACTGAAATTTTTTATTTATTTTGAAAAGTATAATACTATATTTATTTTCTTTTTTAAATGTTTCTAAGTTCAAATATCATTTTAAATAGCATGGCTGCTGATATATTGATCTTTTTTCTCTGTCAGAAATAAAGATATTAAAAGTATATTAAAGAATATCATATAAAATGTCATAAAAGATTTATTAAAAGCTGCTAAAAGAAGTAATTACTACTTGATCCCGAGAAAAGATACTTAATTTCAATCAACATTTCTAAAGCTTCGAAATATTTGTGGCCGAGGAAGAGCAATCAGATGCCTAGCAAAATTCGCTTCACTTCAAAGTGTTCACTTAGTTAAATAAGGCACGAGATTATTCCTATATTCATGCGATGTAATCAATTACCAAGAGTATTGAGTACGTGTCTCAATCATCACATGACGTTTAATTCTATGTGATTGAACATCCACTTTCATGCAATTGCGAATTACTGATTGCAAATGAAGGCATATTGATGTTGACGAAATCATGCGATAATCGATGTATGACTCTGTATATGAATCTAATTATATACATACCTATAATCAACTCAATATTTCTCTAAAATTATAGCATAAATATGATAATAGTAAAAAAATGTTCTTATTGTAGAATTAATTCCTATATTACCAATTAATTTAATATCTCGATTTTTGATATAAAATTCAAAATGAATTATTCACGAGTTTAATTATTAACTAATTAGTAACTAATAGATTTAGTTTGATAATATTCAAACTGATAATATTCACTTTTATCAGACCAAATTCTATAGAAAGAACGATTTATTAATGAATCTAATAAATTTACGTGATTTAGATCTGATGCAAATAATTTTGTTCGACTATCAAAATAATTACGTAGAAAATTCAAGTATAAACTTTGTTGCAAAAATATAAATAAAAGAGCAAAAAAGCCACACACCGGATGTCGTTAGCGAAAATCTTATATTTCATTCATATATTTCAAAAATTCATCAAGTTAACATAAATAAATATAAACATAAACGTTTCGGCCAAGATATGATCATTTTTAGTATGTAAAATAATTTAATAAGTAATTTTTAAATATATGACTTCCGTTAACGACATCTGGCGTGTGGTTTTTTTGCTCTTTTATTTATACGTATATTGTATATTTAAGCTACATTTAGTGAATTTAATTTGTTACAAAAAGTACAATTTAACATTTTAGCAACGAGTTTGTACACGTTCTACATGATTATTTTGATAGTCAAAAATTGTTTTCAGATCTATATATAGGTAATTTTTTTAATCTTTTAATAAAAAACTATTTTTTTTGTATGAAATTTTCCATATCTCAGATCATAAAATAGCAAAACAATATGGAAAATTCACTTAATGCACATCCACTGAAACATTAAAATATAATTACTTTTATCTCCTGCTTTCAATTATTCATTAATTTGCGAATAAGTCGTTATGGAATATGTTTTAATTAAAAAGGGAGGGAAAGTGTGGAAAAGTGGCGAGCAATATTGTAAGCAAATTACGCTTTTACAATAAACTTCACTGAATTCCTGGCGATAAGTGTGATGCACTCAGACTATTGATCGGTGGTTGAACATCGAGGTCGTACCTGAATACTAGGTCCTGGCATTTGGCGATTGGCCGTAAGTATACCTCGTCTCTGTCCATCCGCGGAAATGCAATGATTAGCTAAGCAAGCCGTCTGATTCAATGGACAGTCGCCACATGATCTATAAGAAATGTCGTAAAGTCATAATTCTGATATCTAAAGCACATACATCAAGCAAACATCGAATATAACTGTCATGTAACGTATGTAAAACATGTATATTTATGTATATTTTATGTAATAATTGTAATATCTGTTTTTTAGACATACATCTATGGAATAAATCAAATTGTTATGCTATCTCCTATCAATACATAAAAACAATTAAGCGAAGAAAAATTTCTAAAAAAAGCTTCTTATCTATTTGTTTTGTACAGATTTGCCATCTTTTAAAAATGTTTAAAAATGCACGAAAATAAATCATAATTAAAGCAATTAAAGAAAAACAATCTAATGATCACAATGTTTTAATTGAATAAGGCAATTATATGAACTATTTGCATGATTTGTAAAAGGTGGAATAAAGCGAACTATTTATATTATTTATTGTCAGAGCAAATACGTCATTTATTTATAGATATATTATTACATGTATTTTTTAGCAAAATTTTTTAGAAAAAGTTATGAAAAAATTATAGATTTTTTAATACTGTATTTGAAAGTAATATAAAAAGTTTGGTAACAATTTAAAATCTAAATAAAAAATTATTTTAATAAGAAGTAGATTTTTTAAAACTAATTAAGATAAAATGAGAAAATTTTTACTCAAACTATATTATTGTCAAATTTAAATAATCTTATTCAACTGATTCATATCTAACTTTATACATTTTTATATGAAAAGTATATATTTTCAATTATAATCATTTTTTGCAAAGACTGTACACTTGATATCCTTTAACTTTGCGTTTATCCAGTAATAGATATGAGGTACCGTATGCTGATTTGATCTTCTTGATAGAAATACACAGTCCTGTGTGTGCCTAACGCGATTTGTTTTGCATGTCGGTTTCAACGGACATCGCACGTTGATTGATTACGGGAGTCTTCCGCGTTACATCGGTTAACGCTTAAGAATTGCATAACGGTTATTACTGACGAGCCCGAAATCGTTTTTTTTTTTGCAGCGTTATGCTGCAATAATTGCTACATTGGTTAACGTAATAACGGAAAAATCGCTACAATGCAATGCAGCAATGTTGCAATCGCAAAAAGGAACTCTGTAATCATATCATGAAACGCATGAGAAGAGAAATAGATCGTAGTTTCCTCGCGTGAGGCGATTACGATCTGAAACGTGTTTTATTAGGTATACATATAAAGATACTTTCCCTTTGAGTTTATCTTTTTGTTCGAATATTTAAGTATTTTTCTCGATAAGAAATTTGAAGAAAATAAA